CTGCGTGTGGAACCGGTTTTCCTTTTCAATGATTTGTAATTATTTTTTCTCGGCGTGATTCCCCTTTCCTAGAACCTAGAAATCTACAAAATTCCTCACGGGGTGGAAAAAAAGTGAGAAAGAACGGAACAAAAAAGGACAATGGAGAGAGGATTTCCATGATTGTATCTTTTATTTGGAAAACGAGGAGACAAGGAGGAGGAGGAAGCTTATAAACATATGAATATGGTTAATATTTGATCTTGGCTCTCGGGGGGAGATTTGGACAAAGTTTTTTTTGAGAGCGAAGAGCGAAAAAAAAACAAAATGTGAATTCGAACTTTTGCAGTTCAAAATTCATCAATTTTTGATATCATGCCGGAAAAAAATCGCCAATAATTTTTTAAAACATGTTTACGGAAGCTATGCACAAAAAATCGAAAATTGATCAATAACATGCGAAATGAGAGTGAATGGCGGTTGTGTATGTGTGTTTTTTTGTGTACATAGAATGTTGAATGAAAACACAAAGAGACAGTGAAGTGGCGATCCTCTCCGTCTCCAATCCGGGAAGCATCACATGTTAGGACTTGAAACTTTTTGGCAGAGGGTGTCATTGTAACGGAGAGAGAGAGAAAGATAACGAACCAATGGAAACATGTTTTTGTTTTTTTTTTAATTATCTGTTTGGTATCATAAAACAGCTGTTCGGTTTATTGTTTGAGGTGTCACTTGGGCGGAAGAATTAGAATTTAAAAAATTATCAATTTAGTAAAATTTTCATGATTATGAAATCCAAAAAAATAACAAATCAACAGATCACTAAATTTTTTTTTAAATAAAAAATCGACAGATCCTGACAAAAAAAGTGAAAATTGTTCTGAATTTTTTCAAATCTAGTAAGTGTCCATACTACGAAAAAATTTAATTATCCAAAATATGGGATATGTCAACTTATAGAGCTGTCGGAAATTGTCAACATTTGCAAATAAGTGAATTTTTCGAAATTGAAAATTTTTCAAAGTTTGTCTGAGTTTTAAAATTTTGTAAAATTATCGATATAAATTTACGTGACACTTTGAGAATAATTGAGGAGTGGAGCCGTAAAAAAACTAGATTGAATCGCGCCGAAGGCGCACCAGCTTGCTGGTTTTTAAATAAAAATGATGCAACCGATCATAAAATGATGAGAAAATTCTTTAAAATTCTGAAATTGATGAATTTAAAAAATTTTAAAAACTTAAAATTATCAAAAATTGTTGCATTTCTAAAATTTCAAAGCAATCAACAAATTTTGAAGTTCTAAAATTTTTTAATTTCAAAATTAACGAATATCGTCAAAAGTGGAAGAATTGTGTAACTTGACATTTCTCAAAATTGTCAATTTATTAAATTCTTTTGTTATAAATCTCTCAAAATTTGTTTGAATTATAGATTCTCAATATAAACAACCGTAATAAGAATATAAAAATAATAAGATCCGTGTGATTATGTGTAGTTTTAATTTACTAATACTGCCACGTAATGACTAGATCCGATTTTGAATTAATTCATTTCCTAATTCCTTGTTTTTAATAGAATCTGTGATATTTCGATATATTTTTTTGATCCGAAAATCCGAAAATCCAAAATTTATGACAGTAATGAAGGTGCAAAATGTAGCCAACGAGAAAAATGTAAGGGGTATAAGATGGAGCAAGAGAGTGCACGTTCACGTTCACGGTCATAAATCATTCATTTCTCAGACGCAGGATGTTCGATTCTCGACACGAACATACATAAATGAGCATTCCGAGCATGGATGTGTATGTGTGTACAAGACAGAGAACGTTGGTGTGCTCGATGCCAAGGCGGGAAAAAGGAAACACTGGAGAAAATGCTAGAGGATTAGGCACACTCTCGACACTTAATTTAGGGGCGACGACGGAAAGGAAAACAACTTGCTAAACGTTCCAGGAACACATACACAATGTGACGAAAAAAAAGAGAGGAAGTGAAAATGGAGATTGGCACCTTTTAAGACTTTGTTTTTTTAAGTTGTGCGCCGCCTCAAATATATTCTTTGTGTTTTGGTTACTCTTATTAGTTTTTCCTTGGGTTTATGTTCTTATTTTCTCATTTTATTTCTAAAAAGAATCAGAATGCCATAAAACAAAAGTAAGAGGGAGAGAAAATCCAAAAAAATACTGATAATGGCTGTGACGAAGTTTGATAAGACACAGGTTGAAATGACTTTTGGGCAAGTGAGAGACTAATAAAGTGTTTCAATAGTTCAGTTTTAGTTTCATGGAAAAAAAATCAACTCTTGGCTTTTTCAATAAAAAATAGTCAATTTTAGAGTTCTCAAAAAGTAGTTCAAACTTTTTCGATTATACTGAGAATTTCGGATTTCACTCAACAAAACCAGAGCTTCATTTTTGTAGTTGACAACTTTTTTGTACAAATCCAACGGAGTAAGATCAACCCCGTTCTATCAAATCTCCAGGTTACTTTACTGCATTTGCTCTAGAAACCCTTTAACTTTCACTTTGAGCTCAATTATCTCGGCCTCTATGAGAGATATTGAAAATTTGTTAACTAATTAAATATTGGTGATACTAAGATCAATTATTTACCAGTTTACAAATTTTTTATATCTCTCATAGGAACCAAAATAATTGAGCTCAAAATGCACGTATAGCCACTCTACTAATCTACAGTGTTCTACAGTAGCAATTTTCAACACTTTTAAATGTAAAAAAATGGCAAACTCATCAAAATGGAACTTGACAAAAAACATCGAATGATGGATTTTTAAATAAAGTCTGATATTTTCAGAGCGATAGGAAAAACTTGGTATGTTTTCGCAGAACTCGAAGGTTACTTTTTTCAACTAAAAATTCGAAATATGATTTCGAATTTATCGAAAATTTATTATTGGAATCCTTTTTCAAAATTCTCAACCATATTAAAACTATGAAACAAAGTTTGAAACAAGTTTTTACAACAAAGATCAATAGAAATACCGAAACAACACATTTCAAAATGTTTGAACTATAGTACAAGCGAAATTTGAGCTAATATGGGGGTGTCTCTTTCCTATTCAAACCAAACAAATCGGGCCAATACTGGCAACATTGAGAAACTATAGAAGTTGTTCTGACCACTAAATTGTATCTAGAAGCGAAGCGACCTTGGTTGGACGATTCAAAAGATTCTCTATCCAATTACGACCACCTACATTGGAGAATATTGAAAGAAATTGAAATGATCAAAACGAAGCGAAATGCAGTGAAAGTTTTGGGAAAGAAGAGAGAATTCGGAAAGAAAAGTACTTTGGAGACGAACAAGCAGAGAAATCCGCAATGACAGTTATAGAAAAAGGAAATCAAGAAAATCGGAAAAAGATAGAGGGAAAGGGAAAGAGAGAAATGGATAACGACGGATCAATTGTTGAAAAAGTGAAAGATCAAGAGAAAGTGTAGTTGGTTATACGGTACCTAAAGAAAATCACATGTTTTCCTACTCTCAATGTACTTTCCACAACCTTCTCTCGTCCAAAACCAAAAAGTACAATAATTTTGCTATTGAAACAACTGAAACAAACACCCCGCATTATTATTTCAAACTCACTATGTTTGCCCAAACTGATAACATAGCCCCTTTGAATTGTTTCTGGCAATCTGCCAGTGTTTCGAATGATAACTAAAAATTGATAGAACTGTTAAAAAGAGGACTGAACATAAAAAACTGAATTAGTAATGAGCTTAGGTTGGGGAGACGTGGTTGGGTACTTGCATTTCTACCACCAGGAGCCGAGATTTAGCAGTTTTGCAGTTAATTTGATTTGGTGTGCCCCAAACCCCCGATTAACTTTGATCAATTTGGCTTAATCAAGTCGTGTCAATTTTTTGTCACAATATTAAGAGAATAGAAGTTTCAAAAGGGTATGAAGCAAGGCAAGGAGAGATAAAAAATGAGTGAAAACTCTAAAAAAAACACTGCAGGTTTTCATTTATCGTAAATACTTAATGAAAGCCCACCGTATAAGTTGTCGAGGCAGCAGAGGTTCTACTGCACGAAATCAAATCCAACAGAATGTATTAGAACACATCTAGAATGTCACAAATTATTTAACGTTACATATTTGCCGTGAACAGTTCCCATATCAACATATCAGATCTGGAGCATAAACGTGGATATGCCGAGGAAAGAATGAGAATCACCAGTATGGTGAGACATCTGAGACTTCCACCAAAGGAACAACACTGGACTTAATGATGCCGGATCTCAACTGTTGATGTCACTTCTTCTACAGTCACAACCTCCTACACGCCCGAGAAGATCCGGAATCAAAGCCCTAATCCCAGTAATAAATAGTTGTTGAATTAACTAATGTCCTATCCTTGTACTTCTGTCTCCGGCACAGGGCTCACCACCTAATGTGTCGGAACATAAGCCCACTTTGCACTCAATTATCTCGGTTCCTATGAAAGATAGGAGAATTTTGACAACTAGTAAAATGTTGGTGATGAAATGATAAATATTTTATAAATTGGCAGGTTTTTATAGCTGGCAAATGGTCCGAGATAATTGAGCTCAAAGTACTCGTCTGATCTGGGTTGGAAGAGATGTTCGTAGTTCATTCCGATCTCTGTAATATGTTATTATGTATGTTTAAAAAATCTGTAATACCTATGTCGTCATTATTATTTTCCAATTTCAAAGTTGTTGATGAACTTTTTGAAGTTCAAAATTTAGCTACACTGTCAACACCAAATTTCCACCCCCGATAAAATAGTTCATCATCAAAATACCTAAGGTTGGCACTATACATTCCAAATTGTATATTCTGCTCTTTGATCATTCATAAAATGTGTGCAAACCGTGAAAACTTCCTTTTACCCAGGAACCTACAAAATATTTGCATTAAACAAATGTTGAAACAACTTGATAGTTATACTGTAGGGTTTTAGCACTAGTATGAAATCATAACAGTACTCGTAACCACAATTCATCCTTTAAGAGACATTTTCAATACCATGAAACTATACGTTTTCATCTTCTGCATAATCCGAGTTGCAGAATCTTGTACTCCTGCTATTAGTGAGATAATAAAATATTTTATTCATAACCTAATGTCATTTTCAGGTTCCCCAGTAGCCCTTCTTCCACCTGCTGCTCCACCAATAACATTATTATCCAGCCCACAACTTCCGCCTATAGCCTTCCAAGTGGATCAACCAATACCACAATCTCATGATTATGCAGATGAGCCGGTGGATATTCAAAAGTGAGTTGAGGTAGTAAGCTTGCAATATGAAACAGGAAACGGGCAGGATGATTTCTTCAAGTTGTTTTATTTTGAAAATCATTTTCGGATACTAGTTTCAGCACAACGTTGCTGCTTCGAAACGATCATTGTTACAGATATATAGCTTTGACGTGAGTTAGAATCAATCTAGAATCCTGATAATAAAAACGGACCAGTCAACACAAAGCTAAACTCAAATTGAAAGAAATCCAAACTGTAACTATATTGTTGCATATTTCAAAAGCTGATTCAGTCAACCTAGCAATCGTATTCATATCGTAATTGCAACATTTTATTGGCAGTTTGATCTCATTTATTCCGATTTTTAGGGCCTCCTATCATAACATACGCCTTTTTCAATTAATAGTGATTTTCAAAAAAAATGAATGAAAATTATTGAATTGAGCTTCTTGAAAAATGTTATATTGTTTCAGAGACAGCATCATCACGCTCCATAATGAAAAGTTGAAGCAACGATTCTCGCTTTTCGACATGTTCCGCCCATTGGCTCTTCCAGCAACATCTCAACCAATTTTGATTACCGAGGGACTTTTTCCCCATTTTTCGATTTATTCTCACCTCAGTTTTATTTTAGAAACCAGTGGATAACATCGTCATGAACATCACCTTCTCCCCACCGGTTCATTGGACGTTTTGCATTCCGAGTTGTGGGGTTAATGACCAAGCCGTTGATGCGGATGATGCGTATGAGAAAGCAAAGGATGATGTGATTGAAGCCGTAGGGATAATTATGGGAAAATTTCATGTTTTTTTTAATTTCAGGTCCACTCGGGATGTGAAAACTCTGGGGTTAAATGTCTTATGGATTCAGTGGAGCTTCAGGTAATTGAAACTCCTCATACCCCTAAAATATATTCGTTTTAGTACCACCCCGAATCTGTGCTCATCGAGGATTTCGGACCATACTTTGACTTGTCTGGAAATCGCTATAAAATCAGTGGAAAGACGGTTCCCTACAAAATCAATAATTTGAATCCTGGTGTTGTCCACAGTTTTGTTCTCCCGGTAGGATTTTAAACAGTCATCTGATAAAAAAAATTATTTGACAGATGAAAATCTCCTTCAAACTAACAACACCAATACCGGAGGCCGCTGCAAAAACCTTGAGACAAAAGGTATTCGTTTGTTTTCGTCTTCATAAACTATTCTTTTTGTTTTCAGGTTGTCGACTATCTGGCAGCACGAAAATATGTTCACATCTCTTGAAATTTAAATTGATCGAAGTTAAATTTTTTGTTTTTATGAATATACAACTCTTAAGAATATTCCGTCCCCCCGTATCTCATAGCCCTCGTTTTTCAGTTTTCCCTTTCTTATTTTATAATTTTCGCCTCATTATAATGTCATGCTTGAATAGAGATTTTGATATATAAATCTCCTTTTCTCAGAGCGCTGAGCAATGTTTGATGTTAGCAAAATATCACATGAGAGGGATTAGTGATAGTCCTCCGCACTTACCTGAGACAGAGAAAGAAATTCGTGTTTGTTACAAGGCTTCTTTAAAGTTCAGTGTAGTTCGGCAAACAAGCGGTTTAGAGGTTGGCATTTCTGACCGAGAAAATGTCTCCAACTTGAGCAAACTTTTGGACACAGAAGAAACAGCAAGTGGAGCTATGAGGAGGACTTTTGAGTTTCCAAGTTTCTAGTAGATCAATATTTTGTAAAATAAAAATATTTATCCGTAAAAACAACATCTCCTCTAATAGGAGTTTACCCAAACCCTCAGCGCTGAGCTCAATTATCACGTCTTTTTTGTAAGATATCAAAAATTGGTCAACTGATAAAATATTGATGATATTATTACAAATAATATGTCACTTGACAAATTCTTGATATCTTTCACAGAAATCGAGATGATTGAGCTCAAAGTTGATGGTTTGGGTAGGCTTCTATTAGAGGATATACAGTATCATCCCAAGAGGTTAGTGTTTTATTAGAATAAATCCACTTTTATGAATTTGTTCAAAATTGTCCAACGTTTTGAATTTTCCCGATTTCAATCCCAGTTAATCTATTCCGTGAATTCGGTAATAAAAAGTCATTTCTTTATTCACACTTTGAGCTCAATCATCTTGCTCCCTTCAAAAGATGCAAACTGTAAAAATGTTAGTGATATTATTTTAAGCACTTTATCAGTTGACATATTTTTGATATTCCTTCTAGCAACTGCGATAATGGAGCTCGCAGTACCGGTATACCAAACATATTTGCTCTAATAGAAGTTCAAATGCATTTTGAGCTTATTTGTCTCAATTCTAGTGACAGATATCAAAAATTTGAAAATTACAGAAATGTTAGTAACATCATGACAAACATTTCAGCATTTGACAGATTTTTGATATCTTTCACAGAATTTTAGATCAATTAGCTCAAAGTGCAAGCGACTAAACCACGTATTCGTATTCGCTGTAAAAGTGTATTTTAAACACAATTATCTAGTTAACTTCAAAAGATATCAAAAATTTATCAATTGGTAACCTGTTGGTGGAAATATTAAAAAAAAATTTTATCAGTTGACAGAGTTTCAAAATCTTGCACAGAAACTAAGATAATTAAGCTCAAAACGCAAATATGCCGTATTTGCTTCACCTATATGTGCACTTCGAGCTCATTTATCTTCATTTCTGTAAAAGATATTAAAAATCTACAAACTGTGAAAATGTTAGTGATATCATGACAAACATTTTATCAGTTGTCAGATTTTTGATATCTTTCACAGAAACGGAGATAATCAAGCTGCAAGTATGCCGTACTTTCTCACCTTATCCTTACAGTTTGAGCTGAATTATTTGGCCTTCTTTGTAAGATAATGGAACATTTTTAGTTTGAAAAGTGTTTATCATATTACCAGCATTTTATCATTAGGCAGATTTTTGTTATCTTTTGTTTTGAACCAAGATAAGTGAGCTCAATGTGAACGTAGACAGTGGGGTTCTATTTGAGCGACTACGTTATTGTTGTATCAACGAAGTAAGTACCAAAATCTGTACAAGTGGGAATTTATATATTGAAATTAAATTCAGATAAGGATTTGAAAAATTCCTTGATCTACAGTAACCACAATTTTCTCGGTCCCCAAATATTTTTCTTGTTCTCTTAACCTCCTTTTCACTCTCTTCAACAGTCCTTCTTCTTATTCTTCTTCCCAATGCAACCTTTCTACCACTTCTCCTCCTCTTCTTCCCCTTCATCTGCCTATCTCACTGCGTGTGCAATTCCATCGGACAGGGGCTAAACGGTCATTCGGATTGCCTTTCTCCTCCTCCTCTCCGTTACGAACAAAAGAGGGGAGAGAAAGATGACGACGATCGTCTTCAACTGTCGACGTGTCTCATTTTTGTCTGTGTCTGATGTTGCGCACACCAGCCCCAAAGTCCTTTAAGATGAAGGTGACGCATGCCGAGGGTCACCCTCATCTTCTCTCTTCCCTCTGCACCATAACTCACGTTGCCAATCCGAAACAACACCGATCAATAACCATGTGATCGCATTTGTCGCGCATATTCCGCGCGCGCACATACATAAACACACAGCTCTTTTCTTGTAGTTCTCTACTTCTCTAATTCTCTCACACACTGTAATACGGTTATCTGATTTTAGTAATTTGAAAAACAACCAACTATTCTTTGAATGTTTTTGGTTTGAGAGTGAAAAGGAGCTAATTTTCCCCTTCTTTGTTTTTTGACTTCTCATCTAATTGACGGATGTCACGCCATGAGACCACCCAGAGAAGGAATTCGTTCGGGTCCTAAAAGCTGCTGAACCATGAACAAACCAGTTTTTGGGCTGCCAGACAAAGAAGATGTGAACTTAACACGTCGTGGCATGAAGGGGAAGGTCAGCAGCATCAAGAAACTACAAAATTATTCTATTTTTCTCTCTTCCATTGCCCTTCTCATCTATCACGCAGACACTGTATTGGTGGTCTTCTTGTTGACGACGTCGTTTTTTGTCACATCACCAAGTTTCATCCCTACCCGCTTGGTATCTTGTTTCATTCTTTTGTGGTAGCCTCTTCATTTAAATTCTAGAAATGCATTTTGAACTCTCCCCAACGTTTTTCTCTGAAGCCTTGAGAGTTTTTATGGGACGTTTTCACTTTTTTGGCCGCATGCAATCCCAATCCGCTTACAAAAAAGTCAGATTTTCCCGTTTTTCTATCCGCATTCTTTTTTGATTTGAACGCAAAGCGCTGCGCGCGAAATGTTGCCTATCGGAACGACTTGACGCCTTAGCTTAACCGATCGGAACGGGTCAAGTGTGATTTTTCAAATGCTTGCTGAACGTTTAGAACACTTTGATGCGGCTTATTTAGGCTGAAGCTGGGTCTCGAAAAATCGCGAAATCTTCCAAACCTATATTTAGTTGGTGTTCGCTCATTTTAACCTTTTCCAGGGGTCTGGAGCTCGACTGTCCAGTTTCCAATCACTTTGAAAATTTCGGAGTGTGCAAAACGAACCTATAAGTTGGAAACTTTGAGTTCATAGAATTTTTTGAAATTACATAGTTTTTGAGCGGCGGGGATTGTCTTTCATAAATCGGCAAATAGCTGAAAGTCTAGGAATTTCAAAAAAAGAATCTGTTAATGCAATGTTCTCGACCTAGGTATGTTTTACACCCTCTAAACTTTTCAAAGTGATCGGAAGTTTGTCCGGCAAGCTCCATTTTTTTTGGAAATAGTCAAAATGACCTAAAACCAACTAAAAGGTAGTAATTGGAGACTTGACAGTCGATCTCCAGACTTTTGAAAAAATGGTCAAAATGGACAAAAATCAACGGAAAAATACGTTTTTGTCTATCTTATTGATTGTTACTGCCTCCTAATGCCAAGTTTTAGTAGTTTTGCAGCCCTTGTCCTTCTCCAAAACACGTTTTTTTCTTCTTCAAATGTTCTGACGTCTGTATATACAAAAATATAAAAGTGCAAGATTAGAATCTCTTTTTTATGTATAGAAGGGCATTTATGACTTTAAAGTCTTATCCCACTACTCAATCCGCTCTTCATTCGAAAACTTTTGGTTTGAGACTTTTTCGATTTGAAACTTAAAAAATTCAAATATTGTTGTTGTCGAGACACAGAGAGAATAGAAAGAGCACATGACCTAGCCATAGCTCAAATGTTAATTTCATAGGCTATTCCAAATTTATTGCTTCTCCTCTCTCCTACTATTTCTTTGAAGTGCACCAGAGCAGGCGCGTTTCAATTCCATTTTACCATTTTTCTCCGCTCTTTGAAATTCTCCACCAGCACACCACCAACACCTAGTGTGCCAATGCTTGTCGATTTGTTTGCAATTTTACGGAATTCGACCTTGTTTATTCTACTGACAGTTCATTGGAGAAAGAGAGAGGGGGGGGGGGGCTCTGCACTTTTTCACACGCGTGATATTTTCTCTCTCGGCGTTTCCCGCTCTCTGTTTTTTTTCCCTTACATTATAAAAGAGCTCTGAAATTTCAGGCAATTTATTTATGAATGAGGGGTGTCATGAGCGTAGCGTCTTGTTTGTTGTTGTTGACATTTTGACGAATTGCTCCTAAAACTGAGCTAATTTTATTTGTAGCCGCTTGCTTTGAAAATGAGAAATCCTCTGTTTTCACACACGCAAGCGCACAAACAACAAGAGGAAGCAAGCGATAAAATAGTGCGAGTGTGCTCCTAGAATAACCATCGATCTTTTGCTTACGGTCATTTCGCCACCGTGCTAATCGTCATTATCAGAAAGCTGATAAGGGCAACAGTGTCAAACCAACAAATGTTTCAAGACCAGTTATCTAACTTTTTTCTTGCCGTTTAAATGCTCCATTTTTACCTCAAATGTCATGCGACTTCCTCATTTTTCAGAAGATGCGATGAGCCAAGAAACAGCGGACGGCTCTCTCAACTCAAATCGTTTAAAGTCCATGATGAACATCATCCGTCGAGCATTCAGTTTCCGTGACAAGCGTCCAACATCTCGTAAGTTTTTTGAGTTTTTGAGTTTTGGCACAAAAACATCGGAGCAGTGAAAGAGCAATATCCGTGGCCGTGGTAGAAGGTCCCACAACGACCAGCTAACGTAACCTGAAATTGTTTATTCTCAGAGTTTTTCTCTCAATAACTGTCCGTTTTTAGTCAATTTTTAAGCCGTAAAAAATTTATTTCACGCCCTTTTTGGAGGGTAATAACAATCAGTAAAAAAACGAGATATTGAATCCTCAGAAGAAAACTATTTTTTGGTTACTGTAGTTTTTGCTGTGGGACTTTTGACCACCGTTACCAGCGCTACTCTGCTAAAACTCCGCTTTTTTGAGCCAGTATAATGGAACTATAAGCCTGTGACGCCTTTGTTTATTCGGACTGCGTGCATCTTAAAATTGAATATGTTCCAGAGCAAGGCTCATCCGAAGAAACATCTGGTCTTGTCATGGAAATGGAGACAATGGCTGTCAATCCGACCACCCCATCCTCGAAGAACAGCAATAACAAACCACGCATTGACTCTCTTCCAAGTCGTTTGTCCTCATCTCATAACATTCTATAAAGTTTCGTATTTTCAGCCAGCGACGTTCCCTCAACCTCGGCATCGTGCTCTCAACCAACACCGACTTCCAAGCGAGCTCCATCGATCTACGAGGATCCGTTTGTTGCTGTCGCTGCCGATGGAACCATCTATATCAAGCACTACTACAACTTCCACAACAGAGCCGAGTTCCAGATTCAAGGCGTTCGTCATGGACATATCGTGAGTGTTCATTATAAACTTGGTATTAATATGGTACGAAAAATCAAAGCTGTGAAAGAGGAGCACCGGTAGCCGTGGCCGTAGCTCCTAGAACGACAACCAATGTAATCCAGAAATATTCTCCATTTCCGGACTTTTTTCTCAAGATTCTTCCGTTTCCCTCAATTTTTTCTAACACGCAAATTCACAAAAAAACAGTTGAAAAGCTAGAAAATAACAAAAAAAAAATACATTTTTAGGTTACGGTAGTTGTCGCTGTGAGACCTTCAGCCACGGACAATGGCAATTTTCCTAAAATCGCTTACATTAGAGCGCGTTTTTTAAAATTTCTAAAACAACAAAGAATCCATGCCAATTTCTCTTAATTCTTAGTTCACAGTTTTTAGAAAGCAGGGTTTATTGAGCTCGAATTACAAAAACGTTATTTGCTGACTATTATCCCTAATTTCAATATCTAATTTTGTTTCAGAGAAGAAACAGTCGCGTCGTGAAAGTGCAAAGTGTGACGAAAATCTACTACAACGCCGGATCCGACACCCGCGACGAGACGGTGATCAAAAACTGGGGAATCTGCATGAACAACGTCTGGTGGGCCAGTCACCTCAATCGGTTAGTCATATTTACAAAAACAAAAACTCGTCGATCTATTGTGTTTCAGATTGGAAAGCAACAATCGCTTCACTAATGTCATTCTGATATGCGACGGAATGCACCCCGGATTTTCAGTGTCCAACATTGATGCATTTGCCGAGACACTTCAGTTTGTCGGTCTCCCAGCGGATTCTCCATTCCATAATGGCATTCCGAGCCCGCCGTTGGGCATGCTTCAAATTCCATTTATCGATGAGGATGAAAATGGTAAATTTTTTAATCTAGACCCTTCGTCTAGACCCCAGGGCCCAGTCTGGGTTTTTGACTAGTTTAGTCTTTAGTCTAGGCTGAATCTCAATAAAATTCTTCCAGATGTCGTGCCAAAGAAGCGCAAGCAGCGTCGAGCCCAGCCAAAACCAGAAATAAAAACTCATTTGGAATAAAACTGATGCCACCTCAAAGCCCATCTCACTTGAATAAAAACGCAACCCCAAAATCCCAATAATTGTTCATCGCCACTTGTTATCAGTTTTTGACAAAACAAACCCGTTCAAACCAGTGGCACCAGCCTTGATTTGTTAATTTCCTGTTCTCCTTATCCTCTCCACCTATCATTTAGTCTGATGCAATTCTGAATCCCTTTGATCGTCTCCTCCCAACACTTTGTATTTCAAGACATGATTTCGTAGCATATTTTTGTTGTCATATAAAAAATGTTAGCTCACATCATCAGAAAAATAAAATATGAAATATATCATGACGGGTAAATTCGACGGTGAGTAATAACGGAAGTATTGCGGTCGAGGTCGATAATGACGTCGAAAGATCTGGAGCGATACATGGATTCCATTAAGTTGACGACGAATGTTTCCTGGAAGTTGGCCGTCTTGGTGCATGTATGAATTACATAGATATATGGATCTAGTCCGGAGAATTCGAATTCTTCTCCCTTCAAAGCAACTTTCATCTCTGGTTGTTTGCCAAAGTGGTAGGTGGCGAAATCAAAAGTGTCGTCTTCATCAAAGGCATCTGAAATGTGAAAATTTTATAACAATGAACTGTTCAGTATATTTTCGGGTACTTGACCATTTTCAGGGTTTTAGAACTCGGTGATCAAGTTTCCGATCATTTGAAAAAATTAGAAATTCGTGAAACAGACCTAGATTGAAAAAGTTGCCTTCACAGAATTTGTTAAAAACTGTTAACTTTTTAGTTATTTTAAAAACAACCCTTTTTTTTGTCGGTTTTTGTATTGAAAACGTGAAAGAAAATTCAGATAATTTTTTTTGAAAACTTCCAGTTTTTCAGATTTGTGTCAATAGTGGTTAAGAAGGGAAGTCTTTCGAAAATCTGCAAAAAACTAAAAAACCAGGAATTTTCAAAAAATTCTGAAAAAAGCCAAGTTTTCAATCTATGTCTGTTTCAAATCCTAGGAAATTTTCAACTTGATCAGAAACTTGGCAGCCGAGCTCCAGAATCTTAAAAATGCCAAATGAACAACAGGAAAATTAAAAAACAACAGGAAAATTCGTTTGTCTATATCTCACAGCCTCGCGGAGGGTGTCAATTTTGAACGCTTCGCGTCTGTTTTATTGACATTACGTTGTGAATTTTTCAAAAAAATATTTTTCTTTCTCATCGTAGCGGGTGGCGCCAACAGTCGGTGCGATAGAGCGCGTTTTCTTGAGATTTCCTTCCGCGAGGCCGTGATATTTTATTGAGAGGTACTGCACATGACTTGAAACAAACTCACTATCCTGGAAATCGCTCTCCATCAAGAACACCTTAGCCTCAGCAACCCTTGGAGCTCTACATCTCAATGTGACTCGAGCATAGACAAGTGTGGCGGAAAAGCGAGTGGTGCTGGCCACGAGCCCGACAATGAAAATCAACAGTAGCAGCAGAATCCGCATGTTGCTGTTAATACCAAAATCCAATCTCGATCCACTTCGTTTTATACACCAAGCAATGTTTTGAGTTGCGATTCAATTCTATTCTTTTGTCGACCAGAAGCAGATTGAAACGTTTTGTCACCCGAATGCAAACATCGTCGCACAAGATCTGTGTAGGCGAATGTTTAGAGCAAGGAAAAAAGAGGAGCATCAGCTTTCTCTGCAATTCAAAAAAGTGCCAGAGTTTAAAGTTCTAAACAATGTTGTTTTTCTTTTCAATTATATCGCAAGATTTAGAAAAAAACATACTGGTAGATCAAGGAAAATACTGGATGTGTGATGAATATCGAAACGTGGGCAAAAAAAATGTAGAAGACAAGAAAAGTGAGAGAATGTGACATTTTGATAAAGTTGGGACAAGCCGTTGTCTAAAGCTAGAGTGAATTGTAATTAAAAGGATAGATAAAAGAGGTTACAGATATAAAACATTATCACAATTCAATCAATTTGCTCTGTGACCAATTGTTTCTTTAGCTCCTGCTGTTCGGCCCAGGCTTGCTTCTTTTTTTCCTTCTGCTTCTGCTTCTTCTTTTGGTTCTTGGTGAGTGGAGGAAGATTTTCAGAGTTCTCAGCTTCAATAGCATTGTCAGCTGCTGTCGTAGCAACGGCTGGTGTCTGAGCATTCTCAGGGGAACAAGTTGCTACTGTTGGAGCTGGTTCTGGTCCGAGGTTTGTCCAAGAGTATTGCTCTCGGTGGAAGATATTGCGCCAAAGGTCCGACACCTCGGCAACAAATCGCGGCTGAATCGTAATCGGTGCCCCTTGTCGAATGCCGTTTACCAAATCGGCGAACTCCTCATCGTCGATTTGGGCGATTTTGTTAGCTCGATCCACCTCGGGATGATACTCGTCGCTGCTTCCACCTTGGATCGCCAAACACGCATCATCTCGAATAGCCAAACACATTGTGTCGTCAACCACAAGCAGCGGAAAGAGAGCAGCACTGAATCCAACTTTGATGCAATCACCGTCTTCACGCTTTTTGAGAGGGAAGTAGAAGTCGGGGTATTTAGAAGGTGGCAAATTTGGAAAGAGTGGCTCTTCCATCTCAAACATTGTTTCACTTTCTCCAGTATATGTGCTGGACACGCTCGGATTGCAAAGTGCCATAGTTTTGATTTTGCAAACCATGTTCTGTGCAGTATGGTAGAAATGATCCACGAATTCGGCAATTTCATTGACATAGCTCGTGGAATGGCCACCTTTAAGAGTTTGCAGATAGTCTCGGAAGCGAGCAGTGTACTGAAAAGAATTGATAGTTATCTCAAGTTTTTAAGTTTTCAAACAACAACTTACGAGGGCCAGCTCCTCCCATGCCTGAACAGCCGTTAAGAAGTCTCTCTCTGTCCACAAAAACCATACATTTACACGATTTGGCGCTCCGATTGTATCAGTGCATTGATTCATATACGGTAGCTCTTTACAGTAGTGATTGATATCTGTTGGTCTATAAGCATGCTCAGCAGCCATCTTAACAGCTTCAATACCCTGGATCGTTCCGGAAGCATTTCTTGACTCCACCGTTGAGCGCTCCGAATGATAAACTCCGTACAGCATGTCGATCTGAGCAACCTCGAGTTTTCCGATCTCCAGACCAATGGCTCTGAAATGGAGAATTTTCAATCAATTACCTATGAAATCGTCTTACTTGACATCATAGATGGTCATGTATCGCAATGGATGGTCTAGACTGAACCAGTGCCGGAAGCAGTAAACCATATTATGGGCATTCCATTCCGGAGAAACTTCAGTCTTCCAAAAAAAGTCCACGAAAAGCCGGATGAGAGCATACTCAAGTGTCGTGAACCGCTGCTGACCTTCTTTCCGATCGTGGTCGTAGTGGCAGAAGCTGACTTGGAGAACGTGAGAGTTGCAGTAGGTCTCTTTGTGAATCTGCAGATTTTCAGTTTACGAAGAAGCACGGTTTTTGGGTTACCCTGTAATAAGCAGTGCAAAATTCTCTTCCAAGTGGGCATCTAAAGCAGCAGTCCTTGTCTTCCTCATTTGATGTATCTAATTTGAAGCCGGGACAGCGGATTTTGGCGAATCTCTAGAAAAAAATCAAGTAAATTTGTCAGATTGAGGTGTGATGATGATGAGAAGTCAGTCTGAAGTTTCAGGATCGTGATTTGAGATAACTGTTATTCTAGATTCTTTGGCTCTAGAATGAAGTTCTAGAATGAAAAATTTTCGAATTTTTTAAAAGATCAGAACATCACACTAGAACCGCTTTCTCAGCTATCCACAGGCAACTTTTTCCACTATCCACAGCCTCTGCAAACCAACAAAAATTTCTCACCTCAGCTAACTCTTTAGACTCAAACACATGCACTTCATCAAACTTCCTTGTACATTTGATTATATGCGTATCGATGTCTTCACCTTTTTCCATTCCATCCGGAAGTCTCTGAAAAACCCAATTTTCATAATTTGAAAGGGTTTAAATTTACAAGCCAACCTGTAGAATAGTGTCGTGGTGAAACTCGTGCATCTTCAGGAAGTTATCTTCATCTATTTGACGTTGGAACCAATCCATATTTGCTGTAAGTTTCCATTGAGACGACTTTTCTCTGTCCCAATTGACCATGTTGTGGGGACGGATGTCATTATGAGCCGTGCAATGGGGTAGGCTCCAATGAGGATCACTCATTACCTGAAACAAACTGGAATTATTAAGAGGAGAACCATTTTGAATTTCGAAATTCCAAAAAATGAGGATAGAAGAGCGGAAGAAGCAGGAAAGAAGGAACATGACAAACAAAAAGAGGAGAACACCCAAAAAATTTGCCTATCGCTAAGCCTTGTTGAGTCGCTCCTCAGTTATGTGGTATTATTCGTTGTTCCGTCGATACTCAGTTGTTCTTGAGTCGCTACTCAGTTAGCATGGCGTGCCCGAACGCCCAACGGTGCCGTTCCTGCGTATCGCGCGAAAATCGATGCGCAGCTATGATGAAGAAGAGAGAGGCAGCGTTGGCAAGCACGTCGTCTCTAACCGTTCTCTGCGTCTCCGTCATCAGCATACACTATTTCGCGAGTGACCCCTCTTTCATGTTGTACACACGAAGAGCGCGCGCACATCGTCCTTTCTAACCCGTGGCCGAGGTGGAAGAGAAAACTTTTCCTCGTCCAGCAGCTCTAGTAATTTTTCAGAAAGGTTAAATTCGCTGGAACTCGACCAATTTTCAATATTTCTGTGAAATTCTTCAACTATATTTTTTTTCATAATTTTTGTCGAATTTTTATATTTCCAGATGCACTAGAAAATGTTGATTCCGGTGTGCAACGAGCGGTTGCCGGTCCGGCTCGAGATATGTGTGCTTTCTGCGAAATCTCTGCCGGTTATGAACAAGGTGAGCCAAATGTATTCGATTTGAAATATGAAAACGTATATTTTAGAGTATAAACTCGACGGATGCGTTTGTGGAAGTCCGCTTCTTGGAAACAGTGGACAAGACAGAAGTGATCACCAGTTTAAACCCAGTATGGAATAGTGAACAAGTTGTGTTTGATACTGATGAGAAAGAGCTAACAGAAGAATGGCTCCAGCTAAGGTAAGCTATCATTTTAGTCTATAACCCATGAATTTGAAAAAAAATTGCAGAGTAATGGACCATGATACTTACTCAGCCAACGATGCTATCGGAAGAGTTAACATTGACTGTAATATCTTTTTGGAGAGGATGCGACTGACGAAAACAGATCAGCTGGAAGAAACGATCACAATGCGAGTGTACGACACGATTTATGGAAATCGAGGAGAATTGACGGTGGCCATCAAAATGCACCTTCTCATGCAATACCATCCTAAAAACTATGTTCACATCATGTCCGGTAAGTATTTGAATTTTCAAAAATCTGGCTCTGCTTGAAAAGGAAGCCCAACGAAAAATGAAATTCGCCTTTCTGCATCGGATGCACACTTTTTTGGCTTGTCATTTTTTAGGCTTTTGCTTTACATCAAGAGTCAGAAAACAATAACCTACCAATTCAACAGCATTCAGAGACAGAAAAAAAGAGTTTTCAAGTCCGTCCGGTGGCCTAGATGTTCAAAATTTTCAATCTCTATGTCACCCAAAGCTTGGCCTTCATTTTTTTTTCCATTTCCTCAAAAACACCCTCTTACTTTATAGCTAACACTGTTCCCACAAACTTCAAAATCTCCGACGTTTATGGCCTGGTGGATCACATCCGATGTGAGAAGGATCCGGATTATGAGTGGCTGGACAAGTAAGCGAACCCTTGGAGATATAGAAATAAAATGAAATTTCAGAATTCGTACACCTCGAGCCACTAATGAAGCCCGTCAGAGTGCAATTCGAGTCACGATGCGCGATGCCATAATGGGACTTGCACTGAAAGCCTATAAAATGGGAGGAAACGCTATTATAGGGTAAAAAACCTTTCTGGAATTCTGAAAATTACGGACTAAATTGATTTCAGACTTCTGGAGTCAGTGGATATGGAAGGGTCCGCATCTGATTTGCTGACGTGCCGACTGATCGGAACTTGCATAAAAGTGGTGCATGACAACTTCCAACCTCCACCATATGGGAGACCAATCAAGCCAATTCTGACGATAGACAAGTTACCCATGGAGAGACAAATTGGTCTTGGTTCTCTCCTCACTGCTCGCTCTCTGCAACTCCTGAACGAAAACGAGGACCCTGAAGCAATCCGCCGTAGCTATTGGGTGGCTCTGAGAGCGGAGATTTTTCAGCAAGCAAGGAGTATAGGCTGCAATCTGATTGTTGGTTACACAGAGTCGGTCATAGTGAATGAAGGTTTGGATAATTTCAGATAACAAAAGCGAATATAATTAAATTGCAGGTGTCGCTTTGCTCACGTGCACAGGAACTGCAGTGGTGCAGTCTGATGGATCAGAGGCAATTGGTGGCAATGAGTCAAGCGCCAGGAATAGTCCAGTGGTCGTTAGGGATTCTTGTGAGAAGGAGATTAAGGAGAAGAAAGCGCTTTTTAAGGTAGATTTGTCTGAGAGGGAAGATCATTTGCCGAATAAGCTGATGGTCGGTGGTCCGGTGGTGGTTCATTTCAAAAATCTGGTCCCATGGCTGTCGAATATCTGGTCGCAGGCCTACTGATCTTGGATCTTTTCGAATCGCTGAGCTTATTATCGGAAGATCACACTGATTAGTCCACGGAAGACTCCTGGCTTGAGCCAAGACCGGCCGTGACTCAGATCAGGGGTAGGTTGCCGTGGAATAATCAGTCCGTTCTGTGGAAAATACGCTCAGCGGCCACTGGGACTGCTCGAGATCCACTGGAATCGCTCTGCCGCTTTATCCTGTTTATCCCACAAGTACTCTATTCAAAATTCTACGACCGGCTGTGGTGCAGCCCTGCTCAAATCAAGATCCAAATCCCAATTAACACTCTTTTCTTTCAGTTCAATGGATCAGAAGGACGCGAGAAACGATCGGATTCAGCGCCACGAGCATTCCGATGCAATCAATTTCATGCTCCAACCCACGAAACAAAGTATATGACTCCTTTGAAAAGTTTGCCATGTGCATATTGCAAGTGAGTCTTTGAAAACATTGAAGAGTCAGCAAGGCGGTCGGAAACAGGGATGATGTTGGCCGGGGCCCGCGCCGTGGGTAGGTTGTCGTGGACCAATCAGCCAGTTTTTGCAAAAATTAGCTCAGGAACCCAAAGACTTTTAGAGCCGCTAAACCCTCATTTCCTACAGCACCCCAGAAGTACCTTAATCAGAACGCTTCGGCCCTATTTCCGACAGTCGTGAGAGTCAGGAAAAGACTGTTTTGATTTTTGTCTTTGAATCCGGATAATGACTTCTAATAAATATGCTTCCAGAGGTGGTCTCGTCTCCGAATTCGTGCTCTCCACCCAACAATGCCCTCCACCCCAATACTACGCCGGTCCACGCAACTTCATTCAAGTCTCCGTGTGTAAGAAGATTGCAAGTGACCCAAACGAAACGCAAGACTATGCTGCAGACATTGGAAACGTCAGTGATAAATAATTGCGTTGTGTTTCAAATGTTGCGAAGTCGATTGACAAACAACGAGCTCTCTTCTTTTTGCAGGCTCTTCCGTACTCTGACCACGAATTGATTGGCAACTTGCTGACCGAGGCGAAAAGTGTTTATCCGTTGGGAAACGCAATCTTCTCGCTCGACATCACTAACGCCATTTGTGACGACTCGCTGGTGTGCATTATTACCGGAGTGCTGGTTCGCCTCTTAGTCATACAGGTTTGTGTCAGAACACACACTTTTCTTATCGGTTGTTTTATTAGATTAGGCATAAAATTAGAAGCAATAACTATGTGTATCGATAATATGACAGACTATTAATATGATGGACTTTGTGTTCAAACTATCAACAACGAAAAAAAAGGAATGTGACTATTTGAAAAGCGATAAAAGTTTTGAAGAAAACGTTAAATGTCTATTTAAAAACGAGGAAAGTCAGAAACAAGAATATAAGTTCTCTTTGTCATGAAGAACAATTATATGCTAGGAGAGATAGGTCAAAACGGAGAAGAAGTGAAGAAAGATTCGAAAGAAAACAGTAGAAAATCATAACACCAAACGGGGGTGTTTAAAAAATCGGAAAATCACAATTTAAAAAATGTGAGAAAAATTGCTTTAATCGAAGCCACACCTTATACGTGCTCTTTGAGCTTAATTATCTCGGTTCCTTTTGAAGATATCAGAACATTTTTGATGGATAAATTATTTTTTGATGGATAAATTACTTCATCACCGAAATTTTATCAGTTGACAGATTTTTGATATCTCTCATAGGAACCGGGATAATTGATCTCAAAGTGCACGTGAAATGTTTAAAGGAAAAACTTCGAGAATGCAAAATTTCATGCGGATTCGAGCGTTTCTATTTCTCTTGAACAGACTACAACGTTCTACCCATCCATTTTAACCCCTGAAATCATTTTAAAAGTAATACTTTTCTCAATATTCCAATTTTCTAGAAAACGGAAGCAGCATCGCCATCAATCACCAACGTCCTTTCCTTCTCCTCTCTTCAACGACAACACGACGCTCGTCGATTCTCATGGGGAACCGTACGAGATGCGATCCGATTCAAACCAACTGTCCAGTCAAACCTGACATTGAAAATACTCAACATTAAGTGAGTGATGTGCGTTTTTCGATCTCATCTTGCAACAAAAATTTCTCAGACAAACGACTGAAGACAAGGATGCGACTGCGGCAAAAAGTCGCCTGAGATTGAATACAATTGTTGATAAGGTGGTTTGATATAGATCAATTTTGTTATGAAATCTTAATTTTTGTAGTCCGACGGAAACAGCACAAGGAATATGTGTCGCATGTGGTTTTCGAGCGGCATATGAGTCTCTCGATTGGCATACACGAGAATCAAAGCGCAGGCAACGCTACATCGGTATCAATACTAGAAAATCGAAAGAAAAAACAAAAATAGAACATTTTCAGATCGCTGGCGTCCACCTCTCCAACTCCTTGTACCCAATTTTTGTGAACAAAGATGTTATTGATGGAATGCTGCCCGTTGCCCGATTCTCTGATGTTTTTGTCAGGTGACCAGGTTCTAATTTTTACGTTTTACCAAAACAAAATTCCAGAGAAGACCTCACCACAGCGGTGCGTGATTCAACAACGGTCGATGGTTTTGTAACCAACGCACTGGAGGAACGAATAACAACCATCAAGTCAATCCTATCTCTTGGCGGATCAAACGCCGTCGTGGCAAATATGAAAATCTCGTGTCCACAGTTTAATGTCTCTAAAGAACATGCTCATATCATCCTACTAGTTAGCGTGGATTTCTATAACATGCCATGACCTTTGATTCCATGAAATTTCAAAATGGATCTCATTTATGTTTGATTGAAAGAATTCTAGTCAACTTATATATATCTTTGATTGAATTCATGATTCATTTGTTCTGTTTGGTTATACCATTTACCTATCAATCTTGAGTATCTAACTCTGTGCTAACCGAAACGTGTTCCAACATCATTTATTGTTTTAACATAGTCTCAAGGAGCGTTTTCTCCAGTTGATTTTCTGCCATATTGACCATTTTCAAGTTTCCGATCATTTTGAAAGTTTTGGATATGAAAGAGACCTAGATTATTTTGGGAAATCGGTAGTTTTTCAGCTATTTGTCTTTTTTAGCAAGAAACCTGTACAAAAACTGGTCAAAACCTTTGTCTTTCAAAAAAAAAAGCAAACAGCTGAAAACTAGGAATTTTCAAAAAATGTTGTGAATGGAAAGTTTTCATTCGAGGTCTGTTTTACCCCATTTCAAAACTTTCAAAGTGGTAGGAAACTTGACAGTCGAGCTCCAGACTCTTTTAAATAGACAGAATGACCAAACATCATCTGGAAAATACGTGAAAAATACAGTACTGTATTAGTTATCCTTGGGTTTGACTAGTGCAGTCAGCAAACTGTCGCTGTTCATTCGACTCTCACTATCGCTGAATTTGGCCAGTAGAATTGAGTAAACGAACACTGTGAGCACACAGAACAGGAGCACGAGCATAATACAGGCGCATAGTTTGATACTGTAAACAAAATTTACTCATATTTCTTGTGCCTCCTCCATACCAGAGAATATTTCTTCCCTGCCATGGTAGTTCAGTTTGTAGTTGATTCGCGCGTGTCGCAAAGATTGTTGATGGAACAGTCAAGTATTGACCCTGAAACACAAACACATTCCGTCGGCGAGGCCTTATCTTTATGATTGTACAACGGTTTTTGCTGTTATCACTACATATAAACGACAACTACGAAAGTCACCCAGTTATCTAGGTGCTCCTCTCTATTTGCTAGAAAGTTTCTAGAAATTTCTTTTAGTTTTCTTGCTTACCTGGTTTCCAGAAAATAATCGAGCGCTTACAACTCGAGAGTTTCGCCGCGCTTCGTAAGCTCGTAGAGGCATAGCAGCTGCAATTCTAGTCATTATTTTCAGAGAAAATGTGAGCTTTGAGAAATCTCCAAACTAATTAGTTGTCGGTAGCGCAAGTAGGAAACAGGAAATAGGTTTTCTTCTGGTAAAATTAGTTAGCAAGAAAATAGAGCTATCCGGAAGGAAAGATACAACACCCACACCAGTGCTCAAACATTTTTAAATTGAGCTGTTTAGGGAGTGTGAGTAATTTGTTCTGAGTAAAAGTTGTTCAAAGTCAGGGAAAAGTCTAGATTCAATAAGGGAAATTGATTATAGGATAGCTAGAAAGAGTGACTAATGTTTTGGAAAAATATAGAGCTTCTTTATACCAGAAAATATATACAATAACAATTTGAATCCTATCCTTCAATCATTTTTTTCTTTTCTTATAATTTCGAAAAAATATTTACATTCCTCTTTCTCTAATTACATATTTACAGAAAATATGAATATTGAGAAAGACGAGGAAGACGTGCCGCCGACGAGATGGGAGAATATTGTAGAATTCATCATGTTCCGCTTCCGATGGCTCTTTGTTGTCCCATTCCTGCTTCCACTATCGTTCCTCTTCAATACTGTCTTCGATATCAGGAATCGGCTGATTCATTTGGTCAACTCGGCGCCAAACGCTCATGTGAGAAAAGTCAACTACATTCAGGAGCAGGTAAATACATTCTCTGGAAAATCAGAAATTATTTAATTTTTATAGCTCAAAGAATGGAATGAGAATGGAAGGAAGACAAAATTGGTAAACGCTCGTCCAGGATGGCTCACAATGAGTTTCAGATTCCCACTGTACAAGGAAAATGCGACGAAAATTGCCACTGATAAGCTTTTTGATATTTTGGAGGTATGTTTTGGTTATAAAGCTTTATCAAAAAATGTTTACCGTAACTTTTAGCCAATTTATCTCGGTTCCTGACAAAGATATGAAAAAGTTGCCAACTGATAAAGTATTTATCATAATATCACCAATATTTTATCAATTGACAAATTTCTGATATCTTACACAGTAATCGAGATAGTGGAGCTTAAAGTTGAGAAATCGAGTTTGCTTCTATTGAAGGAAATACGGTATGTTAAGATGATTCATCAACAAAAAGTTTACTGCAGCAAACAAGGGTATTTTCACTTTGAGCCAATTTATCTCGGTTCCTGGAAAATATATTAAAAAGGAATCAACTGATAAATTATTCGTCATAACATCACTAATATTTTATCTGTTGACAAGTTTTCGATATCTTTCATAGGAATCGAGATAATCGAGCTCAAAGTTGAAAGCTCGGTTTCATCTAATAAACGAAATACGGTATTTTGGTTTTAACAAAAACGAAATTTTCAAATTACAAAATACATTTTTTCCAGCTCGACGTAGAAAGGATGACCATCAAGGTTGAGCCAGGAGTAACAATGGGACAGATTTCTCGTTATCTGATTCCACGTGGATACACTCTTCCAGTACTCCCAGAACTCGATGATCTGACAATCGGAGGACTCATTAATGGATGTGGAGTAGAATCTGGCTCCTTCCGACACGGAATGTTCCAGCACATCTGCGAACAATTTGAAGTTGTTATGTCCAGCGGAGAACTCAGAACTGTTGGACCAGATCCGGTACGTGAGTGTTGACCAGCTAGAGATCTGTGTGCTTTTTGGATGTGAAGGTCTTCTGGGATTTGCTGGATGTTGTTTGATACTAATTATATTTTCAGTTCCATTTAGTTCTAAAAAATGTCTTTTGCTAAACCTAACATTTGAAAAATACATCCAGCAAAT